GGAATTGGATTTGACCTTAAAGTGTCATATTGTTATAGCTTGCCTAGCTCTGGGTTTGCATTGCCTGGGGCAATTAATAAAGCATTAATGACAAGACCCATTTAAAATGTTGGCTTTTCTGTACAGCTTTAGCTTTTACTTGACTGTGCCTGGGGATATTATGCAACAATACGCATTAGATTAAAACAACTTCTACACGATATACAGAAACAGCCGGAGAGCATGGTGATTTTACTGTTGTTATTCCTTACCTATTGTTAAATACAAAGGGTTATTGTTCATATACATGGGACCTTATCAGAAAGAACCCAAAATCTAATAATATTTTGAATAATACATTCCTTTCTTGATTCTCATTTTCTAGTAATAAGGTAGGCAAAGGCTGCAGTATACCATTAATCGCTCTTTTTTTTAAAACTTTATTTTAAAGTGAATATATCTCTCTTGTATTTTAATACTGCCACTCATATGAGGAAATGATAAAGTCAAGGTCACATTACCATTATATTTTTGACTTAACTTGACAAAAGAAGACGATGTAAATTTGTTGACTTATTTTTATCCCAGAGCTCCTGTTTACATAAATATTCCAGCAGTGTCAGAAGTATATGTGAACAAACCATGTTGTTATTATTCAGTTACTAGTTACAACTAGAATAACAAATTGTAAATTGTATGGCCATCTTAACATATGGGAGAAAATGCTTCTTAAAGAAAAGGAATTAACCTAAACCTCTTGCAACCCATTTCATGTTTATTTATGCTGCTCTGGAAGTCAATAGTATTTTAAGTGCTATCACTGTTACCTTTGTAAGAAAAAAAAAGGAAAATTCAGAACTTGGATGGAATTTGGTTCAATATCTGCTATATTTGAAATGCAGCTTTTTCTTCAAATTCAAAGTGCTGACATTTTGATTTTTCCCTTTCAATGAAATCTGCTTTTCCTGGTATTTCATGAGAATATCTGGGAAAATGGCCTGCTAGGAGTGGGACTGAAACAAAAGATAAGAGCCTTAAACTGAGGAATAAGGGAAGACAGTTGGAAGTGACTGTAATCTTCTTGTCTGGCTTTAGTACGCTGGAGGAGGGCAGTTAAATACATGAAGGCATTGCAAAAAGATAAAGGAATATCTGTGGACAGACAGAGGGATGGTATTCAACTAGGGTATATCATTAGTGAAAGGGTTCTTCCTAAACTAGCAACCGAATGAGTTATCAGTAAAACAAAGAACTGAAATGTTTGTATGAAAATACTGGGAGTCTTGTGAACAAAGTGGGGTAATTTAAACTGCTGCTGCCAGCTACTGCAAGGATGTGGGAATTATGGAGGGATAACAGTTGCATTAGAAAACGTATTTGTATTTTAAAAAAATCCAAGTTATTAAAATAAAATGAGTATTAAAAAGATGCTCAAAAGTAGATACTCACCTTCAGAAAAGGAAGGCAAAAGGTGAAGATGTGGGGTAGCTTTGTACTTTAGCGTCACAGAATTTAAAGAAGGGAGTTAGGGATAACTTCGATAAAATAGTAACAGTGCAGGGTCAGAGCTGCATTGAGAGAAAGATTGTAAAATAATGTATTCTAGAATACATTTGGGAGTCTGCCATAGAGCCCCAGAGTCAGATTTAGATATATATACATTTCTGTTATGCCATTAGAAAGAGAAATACTACTTGGAGCTAAGTCATTACAGAAAATCTAATATGGGAGGCACAGATGAGGTATGTTAGCCAATAAATGTTTTCTCCAGATAATCCCTGACCTGTCTGTTCAGGGATACTTTAGGGATTAAAGATGCTGTTTAAAATATGGTTTTGTTAATTAATGAAGATACAGGGAAGGTAGATTTAGAAATTAACCTTGTATTGATTTATTATGCATTGATTCAGCTTAAGATAAAAATAGATCAACAAAAGAAGATTTGAAAACAAGCTAAATCTTTAAAAGATGCCAAAGCAAATAGAAAAAGTTCATAAGCTATCTAAATACACAAAATATAAAAAAAAAAGATAGCAATGAGAGGAGATTTTTTAGTGTATTTAATACTGTCATTCAATGTATTGCATCATCAAATCAATTTATTATATATTGATACAAAGCCACTACTAGAATAAGTCTACTGAAGTACACTTCAGTAGCCTAAGCAATATATGTCAATGCATTGCTGTTTTGTGTTCAGTTTAACAAGGAAAATTGAAGATCAGCAGGATGGCAGAAAGCTCATAGTGAGACTGAAGCTATATCCTTAGCATTATAAAAACTAGACTATCTCATGGCATCTAAATTCCACTTAAAATAGTCTGATTAGTGATTCATTTGCTTCAGTGCTCTTATGTTCTTGGAGAACACAAGTTTTTGTTTGTTCTTTGTTCAATTTTTAGTATGTATCCATGCTGGATAAAGCAAATTCTTAGTGTTTTGTTTGCTGGGAACTAGCTGGTGGAGTCTATACCCAAACTGTAGGGAGCCATAACAGCAGAAAATGTGTTTAAGGAGTTGGATCCAGGAAGAAAAATGTATGTATATGTGTAGGGTAATTAATGTTTAAAAGTGAAGACATGGTATCATAAATGCTATAAAATATGCAAACGTATGAAAGGGAGAAGAATTGTTTGTCAGGGAACAAAGAGGTAAACCTCAGAGGAAAGGGATCAGAGTTGAAAAATGCTTACTTAACAAACAGAGTATGAAAAGTTAAAGTGGAATTGAGTATTCTCTGAATTTGAATATCCTCACAAGGGGAAGCAGTAAACTGCTTATTTCTCGAGCTTCTTAGAAACATAGACTGGCAAAACACTGGGAAAGCATCAGGGGCAATCATGAATTGGCAAGAGGATGCGCTAGTTGACCCTTTAGGCCCTTTCCATTTGTAGAGTCTGTGTTTCTTAGCGATAAATCAAGAATGAGTATAGCAGCTAATTGTTGCTGTTTGTTGCTTAAGATCTTAATGAACTGCATTTCTCAATGCCATGACATCAGGGCCAACTTTTCCCCGAGGCCTCAGAGTTCATTCTGCAAAAGGATGGGAAACTGAACTATTATTAATACTACAAATACCCCATTTTTTCTGATTAGTTGTGCTACTGCTTGGAATGCCTTACAGACTTTTTAAAGCATTTTAATCAAGTTTCCAGGGACTGGAAAAGCAGTGAGTTTTGGGGAACTACCAAGAAACCCCCTCAAAATATCTACCCATTTTGCCCACTTTCCTAAGAGCAGCAACTACTGTCTTGCACAACAGAAGACCTTCAGCTCTGAGAGTGTGAAACATCCAAAAATTCATGTTCAGCTGTCTGGTAACTTGTGATATTTATCTAGCAGTCCTGTGAGAAAGCAGATAGTGTGCAAAAGAGAAGATGTATAGAGGTTGTGTGTGAGTACAAAATCTTAAAGCATGTTCTCTGTCAAAGTGTTCTGCATATTTGTGTAGCTGCTGCTGGCTGCACATTGTTATAAATGGAGGTCTTTGGCAGTGTGGATTCCCATGTGATATACATGCTATAAATTGTTTTCCCACCCTAAAGATTTTTTGAGTCTTTATAGTAAATATTAGGTGTGTGGAATATGGACTATCCATCAAAGCAGCAAACTTTCAAAACTGTTTAAAATAGCAAGTGTTCATTATTCATGTATTCCTTATCATATATTTAAAATTCATCTGAGCTGCTTTAAGTACACTTAATCTCTGATCTCACTAATCTCATTAATTACTGTGGCACAGGTTATGAAAGAATTTAAAAACAGCATGTGTAATGAATTAATCTGACATTCTTCAATGCTGTGTATTGTAAAATGGCCACAATTTTTGCTTTCAAGTACCATATTAAATAATGATATGAATTGCCTTAATTCTTTATTAGCAAGATCTAATTAAAAAAATGCTTTTAAAATTATTTTTTTTCAGGAAAATAAAATCCGTATTATGATTTTTTTCATCAGTTATTGTTTACGAAAGAGGATTATGAGGTGCTTTATTTTTAAGTGTTTTACGTCACTTCTGAAGGGAGTCAGTCTTAACTAATAAATCGAGATTTTTAAGCAATGCAGGCACTTACCACAACACTGTTCTTTTGCACCCTCAATGTAATTTTAAAAGAAACATCCAAATCACTTTTAAAAAGTGCTGCCTTAAAATTTTAAAAAAATAAATGCCTGAGATTTGCAAAGGAATGTATATCTCTTTAGGAAGCTGCAATTCTGTGAGTCAGTCTCCTTTTTTCACACACGTATGTCCTCTCTGGCATTCTCTCTCTCTTTTTCTTCCTCTCTCCCTTTCCCCTCCTTCCCTCTCTCCCTTTACATATGTGTACTCTGGAACTAAAGTGTTTCACATTGAGCTAGTGAAAACAGGGCTGTGGCAGTAGTTTGATCAGTCTGAAAAACAAGCCGTAATTGCTACGTCTTGAATTGTGGCAAAACGTACGCCATCTTTGAAGAACATAGCACATGATAGATTATTGCTCAATTGATAATTACAGATCTACTTAGACAATTTTGTTCCATACATTTGGGCTATTTTGGTGTTTTCAAAGAAACCTGTTCACCTACAGTGGATGAAACAGAATTAATATGGTATGTGCTATATTAGAGTGGTAACACACAGGGGAGAACCTGGATAACCGAGTTTATTTTATTGTGTCTCCCTTT